TCCCTCCGTCCCTCCCGCCATCAAACCCTCTCTCTCAAACAACCTGTCTCCGTCTCCCTCTCACCTTCATCCATCTCTACCTCCCTGCCTACTCGATCTACCGAGTTGAAATCCTCAAACATCTCTAACGAATCCTAGTTTTTCAATCCAATACAAATGCCGCTTCCTCAACACATCCTTCTAGTTCAACAGTCCAAACTCCCAGACATCCCATTCTTGGAGGATTTAATCCTAACAGGTTTCCACAATTTGCAATCCAAGATATTTCGATTTTGTCGCCTTACAAGACCGAGCTATTTCCTCAATGTCCCACCCTTCTAATCCATGCCGTCTAAAACGAGCTCCGATCCTGACTCTATCCTGATTTTAACTAAATTAGAGTTCCAGCACTGGCTGGCTTCTTTCCACACCGACTCTTGGTCCGACAAATGGATATGTATATACGTACATGCACTAAATTGCTCAGTGTAGGATGATTTTTGTGCACTCAGCAATAAATAAATAGATATGTTATTTTGTAATACTGCTTTACAAGATTACTGGAAAAGGAATAGACTTAGGTTTTAGTCTTATTTCGTAAATTTTTATTTATGTATTACTTTTTTAACAGCAATCGAGAAATTCCTTTGAAATTCTATAAAGTAAGAAATGCACCTAGGAAGCTAGATATAAATGTAGATGTACGTAACATACTGGTTATCTAATAATAATTATCTAAGCACTAGATAATTCCAATAACTATATTATTTTAATTAACAAACATTTATTACCCACCATTATTTTAATTAAAGTTGTACTTTAATTTGTAATAATTTCCTTTCTCCCATATGCCGATTATAGCTTGACCTGTACGTGGTAGGTGGTAGGTAGGTAAATACCTAATATTATATTCACTAATTTCGTGGTCCGCTTGGCCAATTAATATATTACAATTAATTAAGGTTTTTAGTTGATATAAAAAACCGAACCCATGACCTTCGGCTAGATACGCCGCTGCTCTACCACTTGAGCTACCCCACCTTTTGAATTTTCCCTCCATTTTGCCATTTTTCAAATGTCGTGTAACCGGATTGGATTCTCGACGACAAATGTCGTTTAATAGGATTGTCGTCGAGAATCTAATCCGGTTACACAACATTTGAAAAATGGCAAAATGGTGGGGTTGAGATGGGAAGTTAGTGTCCGAGTAGATCGAGCTCACGGTAGCTCAAGTGGTAGAGCAGCGGCGTATCTAGCCGAAGATCGTAGGTTCGAATCCCGCTCGTGCCATTGATTTTTTTATCTCAACTAAAAACCTTAATTAATTGTAACCTAATATTATGTTGAAGTATATCTTTTGTGTTATGTAGGTGTATAAACCTACATAGCAATTTACCATAGAACCTGCTGATATATTTTCTAATCTGGTTTGGGATGTTATTGGGTATGTGGTCTTTCAATGAATCATATACTGTATTATACAGTTGCCAAGCTTTCGGCTCTATATTTGGCCTTCCTCAGGGCAATGTACGACGTCGTAAATAAAAATAATAATTTAATAACCATTTAAAAGTCAAGGATTTTCTGTTAAAAATGTGGAGAGAGGTGTACTTAAAAAATTGTTGACTTTTAAATGGTTATTACATTATTATTTTTATTTACGACGTCGTACATTGTGTGTACGAAGCCTGGCAACTGTATAATACAGTGTATGATTCATTGAAGGACCACATACCCAATAACATCCCAAACCAGATTATAATCAAAGTTGGTCGATAACTGAATAACCTCGATATATTTTCTGTAAAAAATTTTTATTGTAAGGACAAATTGCAATGCTTTTATACTTTTATCCTTAGATTGCGTTAAATTTACTTTCCCATGACTTTTAATAAATTGAGGTGGCATTATTAATTACTTTTTTTTATTAAAAAAAATCATAGGACGATAGCGAGGTGGAAAAAGAGAGCGGTAACAAAAAGCTCTAATTATCATGTCGATAGACGGTCGCATCTGTTTAATGTCGGCGACTACTACTTAAAGCCGTATTGAACTACTTCATTTTTTCTTACTAAACCCCGAGAGCGATATGGTAATAAATAATGAGCGAACCGGTTGGCTGTTCAACTATTCCACTTCTCAGAAATATCAAGTCCTCGCTGCAGGGCAGCGAAATAATACAATCTATCCTATCTTCTTATCAAACGGCCACCAGCAATCAGACGTTTTCTATTAGAAAATTAATTATGAATTTAAAACATTTTTAATCAGGGTAATATATCATTTAAAAGACGGTTAATCATATTCCTCATTTGTTCAAGATGATTTATTAAGAGTGTTAATTAAAGTTTTTAAATGAGGATATAGGTTAAAAAAATTTAAAGATGATCAAATTATGTAAAGTTGCAATGAAACAAAAAAGGTGATAATTTTACAACTTTTAGTTTAATATTACAGACATAATTCATCGTTTGTCAAATATGGTAATAGAGAAATAAAATCTGGAAGATCGCGCTACGAGATGAGTTTTATCTAATATGTAAGATATCTGATGGATGGTCTAGTAATACATAAATACTATAATTTTATTACAAATAAGCAATTTTCATGAAATTTTATTTTTCACTTCAACTGAAATGATATTTGAATTTTAAATAGAAGATCAGTACTTCAATTACCATTCTTTTCATTATTGAAAATATAAGCTGTTTAAGCAATCTTAAATATTTCGAGACTTATCACATACACTTACTTAGTTCTTTATCACTAAATGCATACACACTCTTATGGCTTATCAATTCTGTTAATAGATATATTTGCATTAATATAAACATCTTTTTTTTTGTCAAGTTATAGTTTTTGTTTATGGTATAATTACCTTTCTGGTAACATTGGTGTATTTAAATTTATCTACTTACAGTTGTACTACTACTTCTACTTTTTATTCTCTAATATTATAAACTGATAATGATATACCAAAGTAGAAAGAGTTACTACGCGGTTCAGGACCGTTTTGAGGGAATCTAGCAAATTTAAGTAATTAAACTCTCTTCTAAAAGTATTTACAAAATAAATATGAACTTTTTCAAAAATTACGAAACAAATCTAAGAAATCATTTAGCATATTGAATGTTAATTTTGTTGTCAATTTGCATCGCAAGTCTTACTTTTAGGTAGACATGGAATATTTTTAGAAAATGGTTCTCTATTAATTTTGATTGCCTACCAAATGTGTTGCAATCATGAAATTGAAAAATAGAGTATTTCTGTAAGATATATATACTTAAATTGTGATTTTGACAGTTTAGCATATGTATATATATCGCAAGTTCTCACCGACACATTAAACAGCAGAGATTTTCCTCAAACCCGGTTAAAATTTATTGACTATTCATAGTCAATATTTTATTACCGTACAAGTTACAAGAAAACCCATAGTAAATCATTTGCCTGAATAAAAGCCATTAAATTTATTAGACATTTCTGGTGCATAGGTTAGTGACTTTATTTTTCACGAATGTATTTCGTTTACACGTCAGCACTCTGTTCCTCAAACTTTGGTTTGCTATGCATAGGTGCTAATTAATGCATCAACGATCCATTGGCGCTAATTAATTTTTAGGAAATTTTAGTTATAGGCAGAAAGTTTTTTTATTTAGGGAGAGAGAGAGAGAGAGAGGGAGAGAGAGAGAGAGAGAGAGAGAGAGAGAGAGAGAGCGAGGGAGAGTGAGAGAGAGTGTGTGTGTGTGTGTGTTTGTGTGTGAGAGAGAGAGAGAGAGAGTGTGAGAGAGAGTGAGAGATTGAGGGAGAGAGAGAGAGAGTGAGGAGAGAGTGAGGAGAGAGAGAGGAGAGAGAGAGAGCGAGGGAGAGGGAGAGNCTCCAATATAACAATTCATACAAGATACGCATTGATGCAAGAAATAAAAAAACAAAAGCTATACTATGAATGTACAAAGAATTGATATACAAGATATAGAGAAAAAAAGTTGCAGAAGCGTGTACAAACTGAAAAAGATATATTGGTTGTCTAAAATAAGTTAAAATTAAAAGTTACTCCTTAACTATTCCGTAGCTGTATTTACTTACTTGTAGTAATTTAAATTTTTTGGAAATTGTAAAAAATCACAGTACAATAAAATTTCATCAAAAGTCTGCGAAAAAACGGAAAACTGACTTATTGTCCATAATACGGGCATTACTGAGAGGAAAATCACGCTTCATCTACAATGCGACATTCATACGCGAACACCTCTTTCTTAATAGCCAATGACGCCTTCTAAAGACATAATTACGAAAATATTGAAACTAGATATTCAGATATTGTTTTAAAGGCCTATGCGTAAACTTCTTTAGAAGACCGAATCGATCAAGACTAATAATTGTGAGAAGAAAACTGAGCTTCACACACGGAAATATAGTCTAGAAAGAAGTAATCCAAGAAATGATGCACTGAACAATTTACGTCATTCTAGACTGCCTCTAGAGTGTAGTAAGCACAGAAACAAGCGCTCTTACCACAAAGGCAAAATGTAATTTTAGGGTAAACAAAAAAAAGGAAGATTTCTGGAATGACATAGAAAAAGTAATTAGGTGTACTTACATGAAAAAAATAAGTTGGGTCCATAATAACTATATATTACAAGAATAGAAGAACGAATGTGTCGGAAGTAATCTTTAGGTCTACCTTTTCATCCTTTCTTCTTTATCAAGGAGGCATGAGGAATTGAATATAGAGTGCACACCAATGCGCACGGTGATAGTAAATGTTGAAGGCACTGCGATGAAAAGGCAGATTGCATTGAACAGTCCTTTTAAAAGGGGTTCGACGAGTTTCTCGACCCCCTGCTCGGAAGTGTGACTCGAAATTATTATATCTTTCGATGTCTGGGTGTTGGGAAAATCAAAGTAGGTTAAGACGTTCAACGTCCTCGGGCGAAATCAGACATCTCTGGCCGTGCATCCCCGCCGTCGGGGATAAACGGCGTCAGCCCCCAGTGGCGGCCGTCCATCCCCAGCAGGGGTGGTTGAGGAAACCTGAGCAAGGTTGAAGTTGTAGGAGGGACACGTGGTCAAGGGTGGGAGACGCATGCGCCTCATTTTCATTCCGGTTGAGACTCCTCTCAGCACCCGGCAGTTGACTCGTGGCACCGCTATGTGTCGCTCGCGGGCCCAGACTCCTAGGTAGCTATGTCAGTGTGGACCACCACATCATGGGTGGCTGTACTATTCGTACTGGCTGCCACCGCCAGGCACAGGCACCCTCATTATCCCACAACAACAATATCAGGTACAAAATATAAAAAAAAACAAAAAACGATTGACTCGTAAAAAATTGTAAAAAAAATTTAAAAAGACCAAAATTTCATCAAATCACCTGAGTTTACATCAAATTACCATTTTGTTTCACTATACCAAAATTTATGACAAACTCGACTGCATGTCAAATTGGATGAAACAATTAAAAATCAAGAATACTCATATGAATCAATGTAAACTGTAAAATTTTGGAAAAGTAATCGGATAAAAATCCTGAAAAATGAAGATTGATTCAGATATAAAAAAAATAATTGATATGCTCTAATACAAAATTTCCAAGAGAAAGTAACGTTTTGCCGGTTATCAAAAAAAAAAAAAAATTCAAAACTTTAATGATAATGCCTTTATATTCTTTATATAAAATAAAAGTAGCCATAACCAAAATTTTTATCTTCGTCCTAATATAAACTATTCAATAGAAAACCCATACATTTCGCATACCTCTAACAAGCAAATATAAAATATACTTGTTTACTTACTTGCAAAAAATTCAAATGCAACGAATTTTCTTGCCAAGTATTTTTACAAGTTTATTGGATTTTTACGAAGCGTGCCGGCGTCAGTTTGAAACTTGATGAATTGCAGCTGTTACTGCTGCCAAAGAGAATGTGGTTATGTAAAATTTAACAATTACTTTAACCATTTTCATTAATTTGTTTGGCCACGTCTGTTGGAATAATAAGTTTAAATTGATAAAAATCTGGTTTAAAGATATGTTCTATGTATAACATCCGCATGTTACAAAAAAGTTATTTGATTATTTCTACAATGGTAGTTTTTTTTTAAATATTAAATTCCCCACACTTAGTATATATATGTAGTAACTTCTTATCAGAAGCTATAGTTCTCTACATGCGTATCTGCCAAACTAAAAATTACGAACAAGAAAATTCCTTCTTAATTATATATCAAAGCTGATAATTTAATGATTATTCCAAATATGTATTTTTTATTTGGAAACAGTTTTTTTTTCAAATCGGCACCAAATTTAGTTTTGATTAATGTCATACATATTTTGAATATGACTATTTTTTAAATCAATGACAGCCAATCTGTTTTGCCATATTTTTGTCTTTAATAATTCTTAATGACAAGGCAAATAGGATAATATACTATCAAATATGCACTGATAATTGCTAATGTAACGAAAAAATAAATGTAGGAATTAATCTGAAATTGATTTTTTTTCACAACTAGTACTTTTTAATTAGCCAACGTGTAAAGCTGAAATTGTTTTAGTTATATTTTCATTAATTAATCTTGTAACACCCGGAATTATTACTGCTTATAAAATATATTACACTAGCATATAAATATTAAATACTAAATATTAATAAAAAGGACCAGTTTTGGTGTTTAGTTATTTCGATATTCCTGTTGTAAAAACTGTAAGACTAAAAAGATTTCCAAGCTGCTTAGTCAGATATCAAATTTTACACTCTTGTAACCACTTACTTGAGTAATAATAAAAAATATATTAAAAAACATTAGAAAGTAATATTAACTAAGGCTAGAACAATCTTGAACTAAGAATTTTTAACAATTTATTTGTTGGTAAAGTTAAACGAGGCTTTTGGACTTTAGTTTATTGACAGTTAAGTGCTGCAAAATTATGTCATCATATTTTAATAATGATTAAATTTAAACTTGCATTATTTTGGGTTATTATTTGAACTAGGCCTTTGTCATTTCGTACCTTGTCAGATGTTTCATGATTCGTTTGTTTAGAAAGCTTTTTTTGTAAAAATTATTGCTCTTTACAAATTCCATTTATTTTTTCCGATTCTAAATTGTAATATATCGACAATGAAATTTAGTTTTTTGTAGAATCGTGTAATTGATTTCACTATTTTACGAAGTGATTTTCTATTTTTTATTTTATCAAAGTAGTGTATGTGTTTGTTTGTTGAGTAACTGTTTTTTCACAATACTTCCAAACAACCAATCGGATATGTTTTTTCGTATGGTGTAATTAAAGTTAATTACTCTGTACTTATATTGTATACTTTTGTAATTGAGAAAACTTTAAATAAATAATTTGCAAACTTAATTAAATTTTCTGTTTAGTATTAATTAGTTTAAAAAAGTATGTTGTGTTTATAAATATGTGGTGCTTTTGTAATTTTCTACTAGTTTCAGCAGTATTCATGAAAATAAACTCCAACGTATTTTATATTAACTTTTACTTTTTCCGATTGTGTTATTTTTGAAGATTTTTGTTGCTTTTTATTGTCCTTTACTGACAAATTGACTATTTCGAACTTTCCAATATTGTGATACACCTGCGATACATTTAAAATGATTTAAAATATCTATTTTTCACATAACATATGGGTAGATTTAAGTGAAGTGTGAAGTGAAGCTATGAAAATATTTCATTTATATTTAGAAGTCAATTCAAATTTTACTTAGTTAGATAAAATTGAATTGACGTATGAAGCAATAGTTGTTAAATTTTCCAAAAAATAATCTTTCTTCTCTAACTTTTGATAGTTGGAAAAATTCATGTTAAGATTGATTTGAGGAAACGATTTTAAATTAAATAATAAAATCAAACCGATATATAATTACCATTATCATTTAAAAATCTAATGTTAGGTAATTTGATCACAACATTTTTTGAACGTAATAATTTATTAAATTTGTTATATACTTTCATGGATTGTTGAATTATGCATTATCTTTAAACTATTTTGGGATGTTTTGTCAATAGTTTTTTTATTAGGTAAAAACTTTTAATTACCACTTACCTAAACTTACCGTTGAGCTAATTGTTAAGCTATTTTCTTAACTACTTTCATTTGAGCACTTTTTACTTAATTATATCGTCTTACTTTCTTCGATCTAAGTGTCAAGTCCATATATTTTCGACTTAACTACTAATTGGTTTGAATAATACTTTCGTATAATTACTATTTTTTTTATCAACAACTAGATTTTTAATGAACGGATCTAAATATTTAATAAGCTTATATTCCGATGATATATTATTTTTATTATTATTTGCACGTGATAGACTTATTTTAATATATTAAAATACCGTTCTTTTAAAGGTTAGGCATAATGGTAATAATGACGAGATTTGTTATTAATAGGTATAAAACATACAAACAAAATTGGCAACATTAACAACAATTTCCACTCTTAGTTTTAAGACAGGAAGCATAGTTCGGAATTCAGAGTATTTATCTTTAAGATATGATTTGCGTTCGTAAACATGTTTAGTATTTTTGAAACAATTATATCTATTATTTTATATTTAATAATTTAACTTTATATAGCTTGGCAACTACTTAATTCAGTGTACGAATAATTTTGAACCATACCCAATAATACCTAAAACAGATTGAACTAGTTTAACATGAGAAAAATATATTTATGTTGTTTTTAATATACACCATGCAATTAATATAGTTTTTCTCGTGCGCTAATGGATTGAATCTTTTCACAAAGTTAGATTATTTGGCCTATCAAGTTTCAGATAGATAGGTTCTAAATGATGTCCAGAAATTTATATCTTTCGCCTGATCGAGTGTAATTTTTGTAAAAACTTAAATACATTTAATATATTATATGTCATATGTACTAATAAATTTTAATTTGTTTCAATTTACTAACAGATTTGAATTGTGAAAAGTACATGATTATCTATTTTGTTGGTTCTTAAGATGTTCAACGAATGTACTAATCGATTTAAAATACGTTTGTTCAATTACTTTCTTTTATCTATCAAGTAAATATTTTTTTTGAAATACTATTTAAAAATTTGTAATTTTGGTCTATCTACTGTTCAAGTGAATTTCTGTAAATAATTATTAGACATTTTAAATACACATCATTTAATGGATTGTCACAACTCTAATACATTAAATATATTATACCTTGTTTTAAGACTAATCGACCTAAATGCTTTCAAATTTTGTGCAGTAATTAGCACAGTATATTTTTGGTCGCTGATTTGTATAAGCTCAAATCTGCATACGCCGCGTGTACATGCATACACGCGTTTACAGAGTTGAACCTATCACGTTTCGCAGTTCCAGCTTTTGTAATTTACAAGACATAACTGGCAGGTGTCTACAATCACACGCCTCGGGTGTTGGCAGTCCTGGGCCAGTCCTCGATATTATCCGTCCAGCCACCGAGGTTGTGTCCGGGGGCGACCAACATCTAGGTCATTTCAGCCACCAACGCAATCAGTACCTGAAACCAAACGCATTCACTGGCTCACTCACTGTTAAATAAATAATTTTTTATTCACATACCATTAGTCACTCAGTTAGCAGGGTGGAGTTTTCGATATTCCTCCATTAAACTTTTTACCTGTTGTATATCTCACCTAATGGAGAATCGAGGAGTGATCAATATTCCGCCAACGGCCCTCCTTACATATTCACGCCTATAAATACATCCACTTTTAACACCCACTAAGGACACAAACTATCAATATTATCTACAACAGTGACAATCCTGTGTCTTCCAAAAATCGAAACAGGGAACCCGGATATTTGCTTCCTTTCATGTTTGTCATATTTGCTGGTTTCCTACACGCACTCTATCTAGAACCAAGGAATTGTACCCATGGACTAGGTGGGACACATCGAGCAATTTTTCCCAACAAATCGGACACATACGCGGGCTTTGGCGCAAAAGTAAGTAACAAATCTCACATGGTCTATTCTTAATCGGGTGATGTGAACCCTCTTCTACGAGTCAGATCCTTCGCGGGCCATCCATCGAGAGGTTCTCTGCCGATCCGAACAACCGACGCTGCCACTTTCTTTTAATCGTGTTTGTTAACGCAATTTTTAGCTTCAGAGGACCATATCCTGGTGGTCAAGCCCTGAGGTTGGAGGTCCTGGCTGTAGCCGCATCGCCCACTTTTCGTTACTCTCCAGACCTATGTTTCTATGTATCAGACAATCGTCACCCGATGCCTCGATCACGTTCCCGCTTTTCAAACTCAGTATC